ATGCTAAGCTGTAGAATTGATGTTTGGATTCTGCTATTTTTCAGCCATTCCTTGCCTAGGGCTACAAACATGCAAAGACATCTACAGAAGTATCAATAGGTTCCAAAACTTTTAATTAAAAGTGCTGAAAGAGTTTATGTTAGATGCAGGAAGGGTCCCCTACCCTTTGGCGCCTCAGTGTCAAATAAATATAATTCCACCCTAGCTGATTATGTTACATGTTTATACTTGAATGCAGATAGCTTTTGTACTTTAATTCTTATGAGTGGAGGCATAGTTATTTAATTGCCTGCTTCTCCTCTCGTGATCATGCACAACATGACTGCAATTTATTTTCTGCTATTCTTGTGAGCTTCCTGTTCAAGGCCAATAATTTCTTTGAGGATGTTTATTTATAATGATGTAGTAGGATACGGAGTGGATTTTTCCTGCACAAAGTTATGTGATGTAATGAATATACTAACTCTGAATAGTCACGATTTGTTTTCGATTACTGACCAAGGGGAGAGAAATAAATTATAAATGGGATATTTATGAAGGATACATGGCAAGATGATAGAAGATGGGATAGAATAGGAAGTGGGACAAAAGATCCATGGCAAAAATGCCCCATTATCGATGTTGAAATTCATTCGCAATTTGAACTTGTAGGCTAAAATGATCTTAGGATGCATGAAAAGTTTATACTCCCGAGGAAGAACTTAGAGTAGTGTAAGAATCATGGTAGCAATCACTTATGATGAGAGGATTCATGTTTCTGGATAAGTTACCAACAGATTTGCCTCCTATGTCTACATTATCTCCTTGGTTTTTTCAGAAACCACTTCCAGATATAAAGACTACACCATGCATTAAGGGACAAATGCCATCTTGAAACATGGTGTAATGCGGATGTGAAACAAAAACAAGTATCATAGAGTACCCGAAGCTCAATCTAGATAGTCAGAGATCAGATCACTAACTAGCTTTGACCCATGAACTACGTGAATATTTGTCCCTATATACAAATCATTAAGAAGTAGCCACTATCCAGGAAAGAACGACAGACTATTGTTTCTATTAGGTGTGGAAGGTGTGGAAGCAAGGCAGCTCAGCAACTTCCATGCCCTCAGAGAACCTTTCTGAGCAAAGAAGACAAACCTTCACTTCTGACTTAACACTACATTTAACATCATCTTCATCATAAACGTTTGTTCTTTTTGTGGCCTAATTTTGAGTGCTGCAATTTATTCATATTTTTAACTCACTTGTGGGCTAAAATGATCATATGATGCGTGGGGGCTTACTATTCAAGTTCTTGGAAGAACAAAAGATGGCATATCAAATCATGGCAACGACCACCTGTGATGAGAGGATTCATGTTTCTTTTTAACTTACCAATGGATTTGCCTCCTCTGTCTGAGACTTCTCCTCTCCTTGGAATTTCAGAAAGCACTTCCAGATATAAAGAGTACTACGATAAGCATTATGGGACAAGTGCCATCTTAAAACATGGATGTAAACCGAAAAGATGGAATAGAGTAACCATAGCTGAAATGAGATTGTCATGCATCAAATTATTAACTACATTTAGCCCTCAACTATCCCTATGGAAACAAAAATACTGGCTTTACTGATACTATTAGGTATTCCACTATCCGAAGTTTGAGAGAAGATAATAGAACTAATTTAGACACAAGCTGCACAGCTTGATTTATGCACATTGGACAAGAGTTAGCTACAACTAGCCACTTAAAAATACATCCCTTGTGGAAGGTGTGGGAGCGAGGCAATTCAGCAACTTCCATGCCCTCAAAGAACCTCTCCAAGCAAATAGGACAAACCTCCATTTCTGACTTATCACTATATTTGTCATCATCTTCATTTTAACTGTAAGAACGCAACTTCAAACCTGCCTGGACTTCAGATAGAGAGATTGAGGTTTTTAAACTTTAGGGAGGTCATGTGTAGAGCTGTTAAACGAACCGAGCTGTTCGGTAGCTCGGTTCGTTTCGGCTCGTTCGTGTTCGTGAAAGGCTCGTTCGAAATTTTAAACGAACCGAGTTCGAACGAATTTTTTTGTTCGATTAATAATCGAGCGAACACGAGCATGTTCGCGAGTTTTAACGAACATTCGCGAACATGCTAAACGAACGTTCGCGAACACGAACATGTTCGCGAGTTTTACCGAACGTTCGCGAACATAGACATAATTATCATTTAACAAATTTTAGGGTTAATTTTATGGCTGGACTTTTATATTTAGAGGGCAAATTTCTTTGTTTTATTTGTTGTTTTTATGTTAATGTTAGTTATATAGTTAATGAATAATAGAATTTAGTCACTTAGTGCTTTAATTATTTTTTAGAATGATTAATAATTTGCATGGCATATTTAAGGCATAAAATAATTTGGATTCGAGCATTTCGAACATGTTCGCGAACTCGAACTCGAACTCGAACACGAATTTTACTTAACGAACCGAACACGAACACAGGTTTGGAGTTCGAAAATTAATGAACGAACACGAACGTTGTTCGAACTGCTTAACGAACAGAGCTCAAACATGAGATACTCGGTTCGATTCGGTTCGTTTACAGCTCTAGTCATGTGGTATCATGTAAAAGTATAGAGAGATTATTGAGTAAAATAATTTTTTTTTTAATGAAACAGGCCCCTTTTAGATAAATAAAATCAATAAAACGGAAACCAATTGGGATTTGGTGCATGAAAAGTCATACACCATATCTCAGGTTGTCAATCAGATTTTGTGAGTTGGGTTTTGAGAGGTCTAAACTAGCTCATAAAATAAAGTAGAACTTTTGGACTTTCAGACTTAGACTACAGATTCAATGTGCAAGACTCATACTCGACTCCTAAAAAATTTAGGGCTTTAGGCTTAATTCGAGCATGACTCAAAAGTACAATTAATCCACAATTATATACTATATGCATATGATGTTTATTTTATTTTAGCATTAAATTATAAATTATAAACTAAGGTGCACAGGTTAAAGTTTTTTTTTTTGAGGGGAGGGGGCGGAGCAACTCTCACAAAATCAGGGGTACATTTATGATAATTTCAAAAAAAAAAACGTTAAAAGTGCTTGACAAATTAAGGTTGTAAATCACTTGTGTAAACAAATTAAAGTGATTTTGAGTTGTGACATATGCATAAAAAATACATCATCATTATTAAACATCCAGGAGAAAAGGAAACATCCAGGATTAGAGTTTTTTTTTGCTTTTTTTTTTTTTTGTAGCACAATTTGGGTAGTTCAGAAACCAAGTTAATAAAGATTGACATGGATTATGAGCTATGGAGTCAGCATGAACTTAAATGCAAACAACACAAGCCGATCTACACATTGGACAAGAGACAGTACTAAGCAGCCATTGATAGACACGTCAAATACTCCTTCAAATTAATCAATTACTAATCAAACTCAGAGACGAACAATTGAAAATCAAATCCAAAGGGCTAAGTAAAACCACCATCAACATATAGAAACTAACAAAGATTATCTGACATATAAAAGTTAATGACATTACCCAAAAAAATTCCCTTGTGCATTTTGTCCCTAAAGCCAAATCATCAAGTAGTAATGATCATAATCCAGGAAACTAAGGAAAAAGACAGACCAATCATCCTGTTTGGTGTTCTACTATCCCGAGTTTAATACAAGATTTCCAATTGTACTGGACCAAAACTGCAGAAGTTGATCCACAAATTGGACAAAGATCAGCTCTAGCTAGGTACCCAAAGATCCATCTCCTGTGGAAGGTGTGGGGGCAAGGTAGCTTTGCAACTTCCATGCTCTCAAAGAACCTTTCTTGCCAAATAGGACAAACTTTCACTTCTGACTTATCATGACATCTTTCATCATCTTCATTATGAACATGCAACTTCAAAGTTGCCTATGCTTCTACCAAACCCTTTGCAGCTTCTGCTGGTTTGCTACTAGAAAGATCGATATCATAAAGGGTGTTCAAGAGATCTTCAATCTGCTTGACACTTATATCGCCCTTATGCTCAATGACCTTGTCAAGCTCATTAACTTTGCCCATGTCGCAATTATCTGCTGATTCCACATGTATTATCGAGTCTGGTATTGAGTTCAAGGGGAAAAACAAGCTTAGGATCCTCACTGGACAATATTTCAAGACTAAAATGAAACGTTCGATGTATTTGTGATGCTAAATCATCGGCCAATGACTTCATATTGGTGCATGAATCAAGAATGTTTCAAGATTCAAGAATTTGGCTCAACATTAAACTTTTGAAGTCAAACAAATTGACGCCTCCTGATGCATTCTTGCAAAACGAAACGGTTCCAGCCTACTTAATAGTACGAGGTTGGGGAATGGGACTAGCAAAGGCAGTAAACAGACAGATCAAGAATATGCCGCCTCTAGGCTCCGGGATCTTTGCATTCGATTTGAATACTTGAATTTTGGACTCAACCTTTTTTATCTCTGTCATACAAGCTCTCTTCGTCTCCATAAAATTTACTAGCCTGCTGTTTTTGCAACTTCTAATGTTAATGGATTCAAAATTGTATTTTTGAGGAAGGTTGCAAGTTTCCTTGGATTGATTATAAGTTCTTTTGGTTTTCTTTTGGATTGATTATAAGTTCTTTTGATTATAAGTTTGAACCCAACCGAGTCATCATCGAAACGGAGCTCTTCGTTCTGATATTGAGGCGAGATAATTCTACGATACATGGATTGCCAAGAACTCAGCCGAGAAGTCTCCAACCTGGACAGAAACGGTCGAGTCACATCGAGTCAACTTGAATCCAACCAAAAACCAATAGAAAAAACAAAAAAAAAGGACGAAATTGTTATATTAGAAAAAAGAGAAAAACAATTGTTGTATCTGACAACCCATGCACAAAAGACCAAAATACAAAGGAAATAAAGACTCAACAGTGAAATTCATCAATAATTTGCAATCCAAAACAACAATAGAACAAAAAATCAAATCAAAGAAAGCTACCACTTTACTTTTCTTTCAAAAACTGCAGCCATACAAAGTGAGAAAAAGTGAGAGAAGGAGGTGTAAAGGAAAAGATGGCCAAAACTTCAGTGGAGGAGAGGTGAAATTTGGCGAAACTTTCTTTCATGGTCGCATTATTTGGATGCTGAACTTTAGGAAAAGTGTCTGAAATTTAGGCCCAACGCTTCGAAGAGAAGAGAAAAGTTCAGAAACACTAAGAATTTGATCTATACTCGGTGAGTTCTTTTTGTAGTTGAACGTTGCTTCTATTTCCATTGTTTATATAGATAAACATTTTTCCTATCTGCATTTTCTCTTATAGAAAAGTTTGGGGTTAAAATCATGGACATCCATCTCAATTGGGTTTGGCCCGGTTGATTTATTTCTTTAAATTTTTCTATACTTATTAGTAGGTATGAATTAGAAACGTATTGGATTAATTGTGGCCCTTATGTAATGAGCCAAGGTTGAATTAATTTCGATTGTGTCCAAAATAATATTTAGGAATTTAGATTTATCTGACTAATTTGTGTTGTTGAAATTTATTGTGGGTCAAACACAAGCTTAACACTTATCTCACATATAATTCAAAGTATACAATAGATTAGTCCAAATTCATTTGATATTTAGTAAAAATAGTAAAATATCTGTTATATCTTTTAATATAAATTTTCTTACTGGTAATCAATTTTACGAGATAGCTATTAGTAGAAGTTTCATCTTTATTGACTTTTTTTAGCTATAACGGTAATTAATTATACAATATATTTATTACTAAAACTTCTATTTTTGTTGACTTTTATAGTTATGATAACTACCTACAACTCTGGTTATAGCCTCCATATATAAGAAATGAATTGTAATGAGTAATTACTTTTAAATGATTACTTATAATCATAACGCTTCAGCTATTTGAATAATTTTATAAAATGCACTAATAATTTTAATAAACATTTAAACTTTACTAAAAATTTCTTTAAAAAAATGAACAAATGATCATTATAGCTAGTTTACATTATAAATAAAATTTTTAACTTACAAATATAATAAAAATAAATTATTACTATTATAATATGTCTTAAACTACTTGTTGTATTTTTTCATATATCTTTAAATATTTTGCGATGGATTAATCATATATATTGATACATGGAACAGTTACAATGACGAGCAAGGATATTGGTTGGGAACATGATACACCTGTGGGTGGGAATAGAAAATTTGTGAGATGCAATTATTGTGAAAAAATAATGCATTGTGACATTACAAGATTGAAAGAGCATGTCGGTCATGTCAGAGGACAGTTGAAGCATGTCCAAGGGCACCATGAGAATAGGTGTAATAAAAATGCATCTAAAGGCTGCTAAGGCTCAAAGAGTTGCAATAAAAAAGAAAAAAAGAAGAAATATTGAACTCTCTGCAACAAGAAAATATATATAGTAATGTCAACATAGTTAGCGACGATGATGACAAAGATGTCCTTGAAATTGATGAAGAAAGTAGGATGGTGTTGGGAAAAAAAAAAAACAGATGAATCAAGCAATTAGAGAGAGCCAATACTTGCAATTTGTCGAAGAACAACGAAGGCATTCCACATCTGGTTTACCATTCATCTGGAAATGAGAGTGATTTTAAACCATATCGTCCTTCTATCTTGATATTAACAGGTACGGAAATATAAAGTAATAGTATATCTTTTTAGATGCTTGCCTTTTGTTTAATATGATTCCTTTTTATTTTTGATAGGAGATTGATCATGAAATAAGTGAAATTATTCCAACTTGTATAAAAAATAAATCCTTATTTTGTATTGTTAATGGTTATTATTACTTTTGCAATTATTAGTTTTAAAATTGTGTTTTGTGTTATCTTGATTCTGTTTGTGACGCCATTATATTACATGATGAAAGATGCTTATTGTGTTTAATATGTATAAAAATAATACATTTTACAGATTTTCTCTTACTAATTTTTATTATTTTTGTTTGGCATATTTTTTTATACTATTCACAATTTTTAGAATATTAAATGTTTCAAAATTTGTGTCTTGTTGAGACTGCTACCGATATGCCGAGACGGATGTGGAACGGTTTGGACCACAACTTTAAACCATGGTATACACCTCTGCAAAGTTGTTTCTTAATTATTTGAGTTTCCAATTTGGATTCGGAGTGTCGAACAATTGAATTAATATTCTTCTAAGGAGCATTCATTTTTTGATTTGGAGTAGGATCAAGCTTTCCTTAATTTACCCGTTTCCAGGAAGGAAAAAATTGAAGTTTGTTTTTTCGCTTCATCATTGTTTCTTTTTCCTCTTTGTATTAGAAGTCTCGTCATATTTAACTAATCCTCTATAATAAAGGAATTAACATCAGTTCTCGGGAAGAAAGTTGTTTTTGCATATGCTTATAAAACAAGCTACGTAATTAACTTGGTAGAGTTATCTCACGTCTTTTACAAATTTCCTCTTCGTTGTCCTTCTTTTTCGAGTGTCTAAATATTCGAAAAAATTTAGTGATATATTAGAAAACCCTAATTGGCTGTAACCTTTATTATCCTCTCTTTTTGCTCATCTTTTTTCTACTGTTCTTCTCTATTGGCTTTGTCATGGAGCCACAGGCAACTCCTCGTTCACAAGCAAGCCTTCTGCTTCAAAAACAGCTCAAAGATCTTTGCAGGAATCCGATAGAAGGATTCTCAGCGGGTTTGGTGGATGAGAGCAATATGTTTGAATGGAGTGTTACCGTCATGGGGCCTCCTGGTTCACTCTACGATGAAGGCTATTTTAATGCCATTATAAGCTTTCCAAAGGATTACCCCGTCAGCCCTCCAGCAGTGAAATTTACATCGGAGATATGGCATCCAAACGTATATCCTGATGGAAAAGTTTGCATGTCGATTCTTCATCCGCCCGGTGATGATCCATATGGCTATGAGCATGCAACTGAGCGCTGGAACCCCCTTCATACCGTTGAAAGCATAGTCCTGAGCATCATATCGATGCTTTCTAGCCCGAACGACGAGTCTCCTGCGAATGTGGATGCTGCAAAGGAGTGGAGAGACCAGAGAGACCAATTCAAGAAGAGAGTGAAGCGTTGTGTTAGGATGACTCAGGAGATGTTGTGAAATTATGCGTGCAGTTTAAGATATTACAAATGATTAGGCACATACATTGAGGTTTCTTTTGCTATCTTGATAATTAAAAAGCACTACTTTGTTTTGTTTTTCTTCTATATGAATGGAGATTCTTTTACACTTGGTTATTCTTGATATATTATGGGTTATTTATCATGTTCATGTGTATGCTGTTTCTGCTTTTCAAGTTCAAAGTTTAATTCAACAATGATAAGACAATCTTGTTAATGCCCTCCCAGAGGAGCAGACCAGGTCTAAAAGTGTCTTTAACTCTGAAACGAAAAATACAGGTCCACTCGAAAAGATAATTGAAAATCAAGAATTACTGCTAAATTCATGCCTCCTGAATAGCTAGTTTTGCATGGCTAAAGAGATCATTGGGCTGTTCCATTTAAATAATTGACTGCATCACAATCTGTGATCAAACAATGCTGTGTTCTCTCAATCTGAATTCCTCGAAAACCTGCTTGGATATTATGATGAAGAAAATCTAGCCCAAGCACTACTACAAGACACAAATAGATTAGTACGCTTGAACAAAAAAAGCAGCACAATAAATGGTGTCAATGATTTCTTTCTATAAACATCTCAAGTTACAGATACGTTTTAGTGCTATAGAATTACTGCAACCAATGAATTCTTTCTAAACATCTAAAGATACAGAGTATGATTTAGTGCTATAGGATTACTGCATTTGTTATTCCTATACTACAGCAGCATGGTAAGTAATGATAACTAATGGTCAGTCAGGATATGTATACAGCACTTGCAACATCAAACCTGATTCTTGAACCACCAGCTTCCAGCCGTCAAAAGCAGAACCGGAGGCATTTTTCTTGCTCATTTGCTCCATTCCCTGGTTATCTCATTGCAGGACCAACAGAATATAAAACATGGTGGATCAATGACAGTTGATGAAAGTTGATTTGTTGTCAAAAAAGTTTTGCTCCATTTGCCTCCGTACACGCAAAGCTCTTCTGTGCTTACAGCAGACATATGCTACAAGTTTCAATATACTTGCATGTATGCGAGAAAGCCAGCAATTCTCTTTAGGGAACCTGAAGTACATGAAACTAAAGCTCATCCTCCCCACTTATGGAATCACCAAATTCTTTGTGTCATAGCTGTCAGCAGTATCCCTGCTGAGTTTAAGAACCAATCCAGTTTGACATAGGGATTTAGCATCTGCTGCATAGAAGGAAGAAATGCAGATCTCCTTCAGGAGATAAGAGGATCACCAGCATGTCCCCAATTAAATTCCCTGATTATTCACATGTCACTGTCTGGCATGCCCCCGGTTCTCTATATGGGCAGTTGCTCCATTTGAGCTTTCTCCCACATATAAGGTCCAGTTTCATTTCAACCCCTCAGTTGAAGAAGTATGGTGATTTGAGTACTTCACGCAAGTCAAAGTTACCTCTTTTTGGTAGAGCAGGAAAGGTCAATGTTGGATATGATGTATGGAAGTTTTCAAGCAACTGCTGACATAAACAGAAGATTACCAGAAAGTATTTGGAAGTAAAACAAAAGAAATTTGTTTATAAAAGCAAATTCCATCCTAAATAATATGAACAACATATAATTTTTTCTCACCAATTTCATTCTTAGAATCACAATATTCCACTCTGAAAACAAGATGCTGCATTAGTAGAGTAAAGCATCATTCAGCCTACTGCTACATTACACGATGAACTACTTCAACTCAGATGATAGACACCAGTCTTATGGACAAGGCTCGTTATGCATGGTCACCAAAAAGTGAGCAAACTCAAAAGGGAAAAGATATGTAGCAATCTCAGCAAACAAGATATGTAATCCTCTAACATGCTTACATTTTCAAGTATTGGCATGCTATAAAGCTCCACAAATTTCTCTCTCAGTATCTGGTTCATCTTGTCAACATCACACGCATGCGTCCAAAAGGAATCATGTACCCCTGCAATTACACTTTTTAAGAGATTCAAGCATTCCTGAACATAACCTGTTCTTTTAACTAGTATGAATGAAGCCTTGAAATTATTTGCCAAACTACAAACTTTTCGATTGCCATATTTTGGAATGTAGTAAGCAAAGAGTTCCACTGTTTAGAAATAGAGGTTAGGATTATCTCACAAGATATAAATCAAAGAAAATCCAAACCTAAAAACAAACTGAAAGCCATTAAGAACTTGTCAATCTCGAAAGCTCATACAGTGAGTGAGCCTCCTGAGCATTTTTCAATTGTCTCATTTGCTATTTATGTAGTTTGTATTCACTTCACTTTTAGCTTAGTTTATTTTGTCTTGTTTTCTAACCGTTGACTTTTACCACAAATTTGGCAGTTGCAGTGACTGATGAATCTTTCTTTATCTGCATCCTCTACCCCTTATCTGATATCACTGGTGGGCATTTAGGACTAAGCCCATCATCTTTGCATGATATATGCAAACAGGATAACATTGTTCTTGCTCAATCTTTTATTGTGCCTTGTATCAACAGAAGTTTAAAGTTTTGGTATTAAATGAACTCAGAAGTTCTCTGTAAGCATCCATTCATGTTGCAAGTCATCAAGGAGAAAATTCCAAGACTTCTTAATTTTGACACTCATTTTTAATCCTGCAGCATTTACAGAATCTTTTTCACCATTTGACATTTGTCATATCAAGACCGGAAATCATGATATTCCCAGAATGTAATCCGCATATTCAAAGCGAGGTAGCCTTTTCCTTAACTATTACAATTGCATAGATAAGTCTTGTATTTCAGTTAAGCACACAAAAGATACTGTTACACCACCACTTTGCTTTTCTATTCATATAGAGATTCTTCAGTTAAGAGTAGTTACTATATCTCCCACAATAACAGGCCATGCCTTAGCTTTTGTTTGCAGGCATTTATATGTCACTCTCTCTACAACTATAACCATCTCAAAAAAGTACTTAATACTAATTGTAGCTTTTCTTGTATTGTTGCAAATATATCAGAACGCATACTTTTCTGGACTTATTATATTCACATAACTTGCCTAACAAACTCATCTTTGTTCTCCAAAGCACAACTGTGTAATAGCCATAGTCAAAGCAGGGCATCACACGAGATCTTTGGAGACCATGATTTTTATAACATAACTTGTTGAACAAGCGATTTTTTTTTTTTTAAATCATCCGAAGCATGCTGGTCTAATAGCAATCATGCAAACTTCTCAATTTGACTGCTGCATTATGCTGGACTATCATTTGATTATGCTTGATGTCCTACTTGTATATGACCACTGAGCTTGAACCCACAACTCATATATCTCCTAGTTCTCCATGGCTAGCAATATTGAAGCTACTACCAAAAACAGTTGCTTCTACTTCTTGATAATAATTTTATGTCCCTCTTTTTTTGCATCCATCTGTTCACTATATTGCATTGCTCTTGATTCGTGTTAAGTTTTGTTCCAACTATAATTTTAATCTAATGATCGTCATTATTTTAAACCCTGGAAAACAGCATTAAACTTGGAAATGTTTACCTTAATGGTTGACAACTGGGAATGGCAGATAAAGGATTAAAAGTCTAATGTAGACTGATTCACATGGAAATTGGAACTTAAAATGTGCAACCCACGTGATTACTCAGCTCTTATTCTAGAGTTGTTAATCCTTACCTTACTGTGATCTTGTTCCAAGAACTAGAAACATTAAGGTAGATATTCAGCTCTTGATATTCTGTAACACTCTTGGTGTTACTCCCTTTTACACCATATATTACGGTGGCACTCATCCCCTCATTTAATATCAGTAAGTCCGATATCCACCAACATTTGTGGATATTGAACAAAGTAACAAGTGTCACCCTAATAGATGGTGTAACAGGAAATTTAACACCAAGTTTGACAGAGTATCTAAACACATCTAGGACCCCAAAACCTTCAGGATAACAATCAGTAAACAGGGCTAATCTATCACAGAGCCAATAAGATATATACTTTGGAGGCCTTGAGAACATACCTGCAAATTGCAATCCAGAATCTCTACAAGCAATTGCGGTCATCATCATGTGAGTACTATCCAATGAGTGCACAAAATTTGGAGGAAAAGCAGTTCTCTGTTTTCTAGCCTCAACCTAGAGTACAAGATAGTAATCTATTCATTATAATCTTAAAATTGAATACTGAACTCAGAAATACGTGATCAAGGTGTCCAACTTATTCTTTGGAAAAGAAAACATACTGAATCACCCTCACGCTGCAATGCCAGAACCTGAAGCGAAGTTTTTATCTGCACATGGAGAAAGAACTGGTAACCACATAGTCACTGAATTACAGTAAGGAAATGACTCCACAGGGCTGAAACATGAAGCATTGACCTCTAGATAGTTTCTTCTTTAAAGACAGAACACAAAGGCCACTTCAGAGGGAGCAACTCACTGTTCTTGATCAGGTCAATTAAAAACCTGGTGCTAATGCGCTGTCTATCAAGGTTTATGCAGGTAAAATCATACAAATTCTTGAAATGCTATTGAATATCTTCGCACACTTTGTAAGTCATTAATGGAAGATAATCTATTAGTCATCCATTTTTTAGTCAAAATGAGGTGCC